TATCCTCATGAAAGAGTATAGCAATAGAACTTCTCAGCTCTCACATATTTGTTGATATTAGTCAATGCATAAAAGGAATTCATTAGGTGTATTTCAGTCAAGTTTCAAGATGAATAATTCAATGAGTGAGTCCTGATCACGACGGATTTTGAAACCAAGGCTAGTAGGGAATGATGTGAGTATGCGTTGTCGAGAAATACAAGAATTACGAAAGCAAACAAGTAAAGGAAAAACGACAGTCGGGTAGGTAAGATCAATGAGGTGGTGAGCGTGGATGAGAGAGAGGTCGAAAAGTTTAATTTGTATGCATGGTTCAGGATCCCCTTACTGAGTGGTTTAAGTTTCAGTAACGTAAAGGAGACGACAACATATATCCTGAGGATGGTCATTGCACATTTTTTAGATTACTGAAATTACCATTCTGAGAATTTCTCCAGTGAATGTTGAAATCGCTTGATGCAGGTTTAATTATAACCGACGGTCTTTCGAAATGGTAACGTAAACCAGTATCTATGACCTATCGACCAATCCATAGGCTCATCACAATCCTACACCAATCATATTGAATATCCATCACACAACCAGCAAACAGACACACTACAGAATAATTCACAACAAAATGTCTTATTTACGAAAAAGTCTTTACCTAATCCAACACAGTTTGCTCAACATGGGATGCATTTTGCAGAAAAAAGTATTAACTGCAGAGAAGACTTCTCTGCTCATTTCGAGCTCGATCTTGTAACTTAAGGACTGTACAAGGCACAAACACTGATCTGGTCAGCTGTTCAATCGAAGTTTGACATACTCAAGAGAATGAATTTTAAGACGCTCACCAAGTAACTTAAGGTTGGTGCGTTCAAACAATTCTCTGATTATGATGGTTACCTTCAAAAGTTCCAAACACTCATTTAATGCATACTGCTCTCTTGTATTGAATAAATGGATGTCAAATCCTTATGTATTCCATATTCAAAGTATAACAATCAATTTCCAATACCTACGATAAGCAAAAAGAATTCAGGAAAAGACCTTTTCAACAACAATTTGTGCAACTGAATATCATGTGTTTTCCAAGAAAGTGTAATCGGTGAGATAATTCAATCATGCGTGTGAATACATAAGACAATAGGAATGATATTAGGAAATGCAATTTGAATGATTGTGGTTTCTTAAGCAAAGTGCAGTGATGAGTGACAAAACATTGAATGTCACATATAGAACAATTCACAGGATGTTGAGACGTTGTAAGTGGTGTGGGATTATGGGATTATTGGGCAATATGGAATAAAGATCGAATTCGGGGGAATATTTTGTGAGATTTGATTGACAAAATGCAACGTCCACAGGTTATGAAAGGCACTTTATTATCACTAAGCCTCTGCTTCTACTATTTGTTCAATCTTGCATCTCACATACTCTCATCGCACTCTCGTACCTAACATAGTCTATCCTGGTCTGTTGAGAAAGACGCAGGTCATATTGGTGAAGGTAATAATGTTCAAATGGAAGGCGAGTGCTGTGCCATCAATAAGGCGGCTCATTACTGCTGACGTCGCCACGCATCTGAAATCAGGTGAGAAATGTCTTCATTCCATGTTGTGTGACTGAAAACACCTAAGCCTCTCCACTCACATATTTCCCTGTCTTGCACCTCATCAGATGGGACTGGAAGCAATTACAAATGGTTATGCACTCACACAGCTCAGTAAAAACCTCGGTGACACGTTTTTTGTCTCATATGAGTTCTAAGCCACAGAGATGGTGCTGAGCATTTAACTTATACCTTATAAGGTCGCCACTAGAGCAATGACCCAGCGCTCAAGTGACTTAACCATTATTATTCAATGAATCTAATTTGTTGAACACGCATCAGGTTAATTGGCAATTTGAATAGAAGTATATGGATTATTCGTTGGACGTTGCTCTATTTGGCTGAACAGTAAACGAAATTCGCACTAGAGAATGGGATGCCTGACAAATGCCTACAACTCTCTGAAATTCGGAAAAAGCTCTATTCACCAGGAAATCTTTTAATACAGAATTTCAATTCTACTCGTTCAAACACCGCATCCCTGAAATGAGCATAGCATCAAAATTCAGCTTCACTTTCTTGAGTTGTGGAAAGATATAAAATGTAATAAACGGGGACATGAACTGTTCCTGTCTTGAAGATATGTAACAATTTAACAATGACACAATACAAGAGAGTAAGAAAGCTTTTCTCTAAGACACAAAAATCAATTCCATCAAACACGAAATGAATTGTAACAAAAGCGTTGGGTAAAACAGTAGATTATCAGGAAGAATAAATTCAGAAATTTCGAAAACGTGGATAACTGAGGTGAAGGGGTGATAAAGACCAATATGTTGGGTGTAAGTATCAACAGATTGTGAACGTAGGATATAAGTGATAACAGCAAGAATGTGTTAAACTCTTACTGTATCAGGTTAGACAGAACATTCTCGTACAAATCAACGAGGTAAGGGATGGCGGAGCAGAGGAGACAGGAAAATTATCTCAAGCCATTTTATGCTAGACTTGGTTTAATACCAGTGAAATCTATGCTAGGCTACACTCACCTGGTGAAGAGGTAAGTCCTTGTAGATCACGATTATGACTGGAGGCAAAGTTAACAGTCTGACTCTTGGAAGGATTTAACGTAGGGTCATTTAGCTCGGATCATACGCTTATATCCAACCGACATATATATTAAATTTGAAGTATTTATGTAATCGGGTGTTTCAGGCATTGATATAGTCATATAATCAGACAATTCAACAAAGTTAGTCATGTGGGAAGAAAAGCGCTTTAATAATGAAATGTCTAATCGTCAAACAGGTCTTCCTGTTGGAAACATCCTGTTCAACTACAGATTCCGAACCAGCTGAACGTCATACTCTTATTGATTTTAGCTGCGGTAATGAATCCAAAAGCAGTTGGTAGTGGAAGAAAATAAAGACGACAGGATAACGGTTGTCAGTGACGATAATGAAATACTTGTTAGGGACTATACATATTAGAGGTTCAACTCCATCCGCCAGCGTCACATATCAGTAGCTCGTTGTAACAGTTCACAATATCAACATACTGACATGCGTTAAGGTGATGATGGACAGATAAATGACTCCACGATTACTTCAAACTAGGTGGAGCTGTCGCCTTTCGAAGAATGAGGCCTGAAACCTCCGCACAAAAGGAGACTATGACTTGCTTATCACTACCTTTCTAAGCAAACATGGTTTCGACTGAACTCAATGATATGATGGAAGTTGTATTAGCAGTAGTTGCAGTCAGTTTGTATCGCGGTAAGTGTTAATGTGAAATATCGAGACAGCGGAAACCGAGTACCAAATTCTTCTTTAATAAATTTCCTGTGAGCAGTCTAAGCTATAGCACGCAGTGCAGTCAGGCACAAGCATGCACTTTGGCACGTTACAGATAGAAAATGAGTGTGAGAAGGAGACTGGTCATTCTTAATCCACATTACAAATGGTATTCAGGTAGATAAGAACAAACTATTATACTTAGAATGTGGAATTCATGGAGGGTTGACATTCACTGGATCAATAACTAGAAAACAAGATCCAATTAATCAGTGTTTGGAACTTTTTGGAAGTTTTAGCTCAAAGACGGATAAAAGCTTGAATGCATCATGTTTCAGTTACCTGGTGTGGTGAAACAATTCATCCTCTAGGATTTCTTTAACTAGGACGAGAGTAAAGTTCAGGTTGACAATGTTTTCCGTGATTCCATTTTGCACAGTCGATTAGTGAGAAAAGACCTACAAATGAACCGAAGAGTCCTCTCTGAAGTTAATTAAACGTTTCGACTATATGCATCTTGTGTTGTGTAGGTTGTCTTGGATAAGGCAGAAGATTTGTGGTAGATAAGACATTGTTGTTGCTCCACTGTTTGGTCTATCTCTTTGTATGTTGAATGATTGAATATTGAATGCGATTGATGTATAGATGTGATGTTCGTGAGGATCGGTCGAGCAGTGTGGGGTGGTGGTTTAGGGCACCAATGTGAAAGTACAAGTGATTCCGGCTTACACCGAGAAAACTATTGCAATGACAATATCAGTAATCTACAAAGTGAAGAATTACCTACCGAATACAATATTCTTTTATATGTTTTACGTCATTGAAGATTTCGCCATTTGATTTTAGTAATCTGAGCGATGAATGCAAAAGGAAATTATTCGACCACCACGTCTATCATAGTTATAACCTTCTTGCATCCTACACAACTTATTCCTATTAATTTTTTTGGTTTGACGGCTTTCATTACTATGATATCTCTGGGCAACTCACTCTCACATTACACGATTTCCGCCGTCGTTTCTATTTGCATCGTGATCTTGACTAACTCTTTTAATTTTTCATCTTGATGCGTAACTCAAATACACCTAATCCATTCTTCCTATGCATTGACTAATATCAACGACTATGATTGCAACCACTCATCAATTCTGTTACTATCCTCATTAATGAGAAACACAGTTGCGTATAAATATGCTTTTACAGCTTAAAGCTGAGATGCATTCACACAGAAGAACCTCTTCACGTCTGCGTTTGAACTATCTTTGAAATTTGGCAACATCGAATTCGCTTTCATACCCACAAAGTGTGCATGCGACTACTCAGTGCAGTAGGCATGTCAGGTTCTCACCGCATTTCAGTGGTTTCTTATTGCGAATTTCAGTTCGTGACATAAGACAACTCAAAATCAACGACACACCCAACAGTGATATCAATCATTCACTCACCATCTTATCATTAATGAACACTTCACATTTGTTAATAACACGAAAGAAATTTTTGAGTATGCATTTATTGGAGAAGAACTAATCTTTAGAAAGGGGAAGAAGAATACTGAGCATTCAGAAAGTGAAGCGTATTGGATTCAATTACATCTAAGCAAAGCATTTGAATAAACACAGGTGAAAGCATTTGCCAGTGTCACAATGAGTATGGAGTGTAATTTTGCCAATTTTGCTGAAGATACAATTTATTCTTGCGCATCCGCACTGTATTCTGGAATGTATTCATCCGGTGTGTCCATTTCGTCCGTAGTCGCATCGGAAAATGTTACGTTCTGTCCATCCCAATCTTTACACGTCCTTGAGAAAGTGGGTGGAAGAGAAAGATGACAATCAAGTCATGAATACACATCAGAATCCAATGTTCAATAATGGATTGTATTATAATTGTGTATTACCTCTAGCATCAGAAGCAAGTGTGTAAGCGTCTGATGATAAAGTGTTAATTTTAATGTTATTTATCTTGAACCGTAATGAATATATATTGCATAAGGAAAGGACTTGTCGCCAAACAAATGTGTCCAACGGAAAGGAGATGGACCGGACAGGCGCAGTAGAGGTCGTCGAGTGATACCACGCTCCAGGCTACCACCCATTGGTAACCCGATATGTCCTAGCGAGTTAGGTATGTTTGGGGGAAGTGAGAGCCTATTATCGTAGAGTCACCAAAAGAGTATTTCGAGATTCACCTACTGACTAAACATTTCGTAAGTTATTTTCGAACATTTCTCTCTTCACAAAATCCAATACTTGCTATAGATTCGTTGAGGTTTACATTCTCCTGCTCACAAGAGCATAATTTCCTATGTAGATTCCGCCAGTTTCATCCTCGTAGGGATTCAAGTAAAATTTCATGAGTGCAAGTCGAGATAGATTTAGCAAACTACTTGCAAGAATTCAAATGCCTATTAACAGTAATCTCAGTTGACGAAGTCGAAATCAGCACACCAACCACCCTACTTACAGACTACAATGTTTCACGTGATATGATTCCGAAAGAAAATAGAAATCAGGAAAGTAGAGCGCCTTTGGGCGCACCAGTTCCTGTTAGTAATGAAGGTGGTGTTCGCAAATCGAAAGAGTATGTTGTTTCCCACCAAGTATAACTAGCTCTGCACAAACGGGTGAATTTATATGCACTCATTGTAATCAATTCCAACACTACTCCCCTTGCTGTTATAGTTATTATTATAATCGCCTATTATTCAAAATTTGATCACGATCACTACATGATATATGATGAAAGTAAGAAGAAACCGTCTATTACATACTGTACAGACAAGGCAGTAGCGACAAAAAGAGGCCTCAGTTTTCCATGGAAGAGAAGGCCCTTTTATGAAAATGCACGTAGTATTCTTGCGAATCAGTTGGGCATATTTATGCTATCATTATCAAATAACTTAAGTGCGGTTTTCATTATACAGTTTCAGAACACAACATAGTCACTGGTAAAAGAAGACTCACAGATGACCATCACGATGTCCCCGTCCCTCTTTTTGCTCATGTTCATTTGGTTTATGCATTTTAACTATCCATGTACATTTATTATTTGAAACTGTAACTGTTGATTCTCGATTCTTAGTGAAGATGGTACCACTGAAATCAATAGTCATTTTTCCTGAAAACAAAACAAAATAATATTTTGAAAGTTTTGCGGAAAGAGTTTGAAATCCCTACAGTAGACTTATTTCATTATTGAATTGAAACAGTTATGAATACCTCATGAAAATTTGAAATTTGAAATTCACTCGGCAGACATCAGCAATGATAATTTGTAAGTCATTATTTTATATCTGGAAATAATTCAGAATTTGATTCCACGCTAAATTGCCATCCATTTTATGTCAGTCAAAGTCTGTTAATGCCTGGCTATCCCATGAACATGTAAGCATCATACAAATTGAATAAACAGTGTCATTGGTAAACGTCATTCTTATCTTAGGATTTACAATACTGAGAAAATATTAAATGGTGGGAATTTATGTTGAATATAGACTAGTCAAACACTTTTGGAGAAGATTACTCCAGAGCTATTCCAGCGCGAAGGAAATTAGGACATTTGAGTCACGAGGAAGTTTGCAAATGGATGTTCGAAAGACTTTTCTTGATGCGTGCGCCACGTTTTGGACTCATTTAGGAGATGTAACTGATTGACTGACTGACTGACTGACTGACTGAATCAACAGTGCTGAGTTCACAGGATTCGCTCACCGATTTCAAAGTGATAGAGGTTTTGCCTTTCCGACTCTGGTTCTCACGACCTCATCAGTCCCAACTCAATGGAGTTGAAAGAACGCTGCATAGCCAAATAAGTGAATGAATGAATTTATCACGATAATAGTGATCGGTGATTGTTCCGGTCGTTAGTCTGTTGCTTATCTCATTACCTCCATCTTCTTTGTCCTCGCTTGATTTCATTTATTCTGTGCCCGATTATCTCGTCAGCCTCTTGTTTTTCGCCTGTATGCCTTCGAGTTTGTCAGACACTAGGCATAAAAAATCCGCCTCGAATTCCAGATTGTTCATTTTGTTCAGCTTATTCACGTCTTATCACACCATATCTCTGCCTCCAGCACAATACGGTCCACACGATGAGGAATATCATCGGCGAAGAAAGTCATGTAGTCTCGTCTTGCTGTTGTCTTTAATTCAAAGGCAACCTTCACTCAGTTACCCATGGTGGATCAAATGACACGTGGAATTATCAGATAGCTGTTGATTGAGCAAGCCAACATACTGCATATGGAGAAACACTTTCTCAAATTGTACGATAACTAAGTGAGGATTGTGAAGTGATATCAGTTGGAGAATGTCTGATGAACGAGAATTGCAGGACTATCACTTGGTTGTTATCTGAGACTACTCAGCAGTATGCACACATCACACCATTAGGAATGTATCCAGAATCGTCCAGTTGACGAGATGATCTCACTGGCTAATCATGCATTTGGACAGAGTCTAGTGGCCTATGAATTCCACTTTATTCTTATTCGCAATTTACAACACCATCGCTATCAAATCTCATCATCGGTGAGTGTATGCACACACAGTGGGCAGAAATCGTCACTGGAATTTCAGGTAAGTTGGCATTGCTGTGGGTCAGTCCTGTCAATCAGTCAGTCAAAGTGAGAAGTATAATGACTTCCAAGAAGTGATTTGTCCGAAAGCAGAATTTGGATGAAATCATATTTGATTCACTTATTACAATATGTAGAAAAAATTTAAATTACCTTCATCATCAAGTTTCATCGGAAGCCAACGCCTATTGGATTCAACCTTCATAATACCGAATATGCACAGACTGACGAGTATGATGAGGTTCAATTTTGCCTTCTGGGACAACATTTCACTAAAAATGTACAATGAAAGAAGAAAACGATGCCATTTAATTTCTATGTAATTTGAAATGAATGAAAGTAAGTGACTTTCTCTGTTCATTCGAGTTCCAAGTGGAAAATACAGTTTCAATAGCATGTCTCAACTTTGTCCTATTTGCTGAAGCCGTCCTCAGCATGGTATCAATAAAAAAGATTATCTCACATCTACTCTGATTCCTGGCATATCCTTCAACGCACACCATCTCATTCAAGTCACACTATCTGCTTCAACTCACGTCATTTGCTACATTTCATCGAGAGTTCCACGCACATTGCCATTTAGCTTTGTTCTCGAGCGATATCCTGGCGTACAAGTAACCTTGTCAATACGAATCCATGCAACAATAGGATTCCTGAATCTAATCAAATTCTAAGCTGACATTGCACGATGTTATCGTCGCTCAAACAAATCATAATCAGACAGCAGACATAGGACTTCAAGTGAACATGGAGAAAATGGATATGAACCATCTAACGAAACAAAGATAAAGGATGACTAACCAACCAGCAAACAAAACAAAACGCATCAAACACTTTCAGCGGAAAACAGTTGGAAGATGTCACTTCCACTACTTATCTACACACCAACAGGCAGTCGGAACATATGAGAATGTCAAAGTCAAATCTAATCAGAAACGTATGATAGACCATCATGCTCACATTTTTAGTTAATTCGTAGATCTTTTGCAGTCTGCCTGAGAATGAAGAATGTGATGAGAATTCGCAACAACAAGTCAGTCAGTCGAAAAACTGCATCTCAATTCTACCTTTTTACAAGTCTTAGAATATCTGACAGCCTTTTTGTCGGCTGCGCGAAACCACATCCTCAGCTACATGGAAGCTATCCGTCCGCCAATAAATGAACTCGAGAATAGTCTCACGCAAGGATTATCTAACGATGTATGAACAACACTGGAGACGCATGCCTTTACTGTCATTCGAAAGAGGATAGATGATTTCATTGTGAAGTTAAACAAAAGTCTAAAGACAACAACCAATGAAAAAGAATTCAACTGTTGCAAACAAAATATGTGTGTAATTACTCCATTGGATCAATACTACGAACTCGAGGGATGCTAATGCCGAATTTAAGCTGGAGAATATCAGTCAGCAGAAAACTGATCTACAGTCTTTCTGGTTTTTTCACTAGACAGACAAAATAAATCAAAGTTTCGTTATTACTTTGTCTGAACAATGCCAAATCAATTGAATAAATGAAATATTCGGTAATGACACGTTTATAGAGTACAAGTACATCATAAGTATTTGAAGTTTATATCATGTATTTGATGCAATAACAAACATTTTTGAAACAGACTGATCAAAAAGGATCCCACAATGAAGAAACAGAACCTTAAATTACAAGGATATTAACCAGAGAACTTTGTTATTGACTTCATATATCCTGTTCTACAATCCACAGCGCATGTACAGATTACCTAAGGTATGCTAACTTCGAGTTCGACTCTGACTAATATCAGAAACGAATAATTGTAAATTACGAATGGCCTGATAGGAGGCTTGAGTTATTTGGGGAGACACTGTCCAGTCACAATCTCAGCAACATTCATACATATATGGTGTGCTTCGACAACGAGAATGCGAATCATTCTCAAACGTCAGTTACAAACATATTAAACAGCATATCATAAAAATACTTATGCCACTGTGACTTACCCGCAATGTTTGCTGATTAGTCACCAACTAGCTTGATACTGATAGCATATTTTCTTGGACTATTTATACCATTTACACATGACACTATTCCACTCATTGGTTACTTCAACTAACCAATCAGAAATTGACTGAATGTGTTTGATAATGTTTATGTGATAAACCAAAATTCAGTTAAAATTGGATATGCGTGAATCAAGGAAAAGGAATGAAAACAAAACTGTGAAGATATTTCGAGAAAAATTGAATATCTAGGTGATTGATCAAATTTCTCAATCTGTCTAGGTTTAAGTATTTAAGGGATTCAAAACAATTCTAGACATATCCATCATTTCATCTAAATTTGATGGATGAAAAGAAGCTGTAGAATACGCGATGTGCCGTGATGATGATGAAGCGAAACCGGAGCACATCTCTCACGCACAATGCATCCTGAGCTTGTAACGAATCACTTCCCCCTTCTCTCATGTATGCACGTACATCAACAAGTATGAGTGTGACAGCTGATCACTTCCATCACTATTCTCTTTCATCAAAACAAAATTGTGTATACGTGTGATTGTTGAGTATGTGGATTGAATTGTTTTGCCACGTCACACTGACCGATATTTGTGACAGTGCAATCATTTGAATTTGAATTGCATTTCCTACGACAATTTTGATCAGCTTATTCTATTTTTAGTATCTCATGTCTGTCTGTCTCTGTCTGGATTCCACATAGATTTTGGCACCGAAGTGCGGCATTTTGACTTGCCACGTTGCAAATAGCACAAAAACGTAAACAAGTAAATGAGTGTAGGCAATCAGTAGAGTTTTGATAATTATAAGATTGCAACAGAATGGGTAATGGTAGTAAGGAATATGAAATATTACAGAGACTGAATACATCTGCATAAGCCATTGACAACGATTTTGAGCCATGTCACCTATTGTCTCCAGCCATAGATTCTTAGAGTCCCGAGGGTCACAACCCGGAAGTCTGCATCTCCCTACCTGACTCAGTTTAACTGTCAAGGATTTCATGGATTGATGCCATGTTTTTGTTTGGCCGCCACTAACTCTTTTCCAACCTGCACCTGATCAGTTAGCAATGCCCGTCGAGGGAGGCGATGGATAGGCATTCGCAGCACGTCACCTAGCCATCTCAATCCGTGTAACTGTATAGCCTCCTCGATTGAATTTCCCTCTTCGCCCAATACTCTACGACAAACGACAACATTGCTCAACTTATTTAACGCCTTACGTGAGAAAAAGATCGTAGATATCAATGATCAAAAACAGTCAAACTTTTCAGGTCTTCAACTCGTATTGACAATGTTTCAGATCCACAGAGAAGGATGGAGCGAACTGCTGAGCAGTACACACGTCCCTTGGTCGACAGCCGGATGTCACGCCCACGCCAGAGATGGTGTAAGTTAGCGAAAGCAGCTCGAGCTTTTTGGATCCGTGCTGAGATTTCGTCATCAACCAATCCCTTGGTACTGATACAACTTCCCAAATAGGTGAAGTGATCAACATGTTCTATCACTTCACTCCCTATCACTAAGCTAGACGTTGACGTGGTCCAGTTCTCCAGCAGCATCTTACATTTTACAGGGGCGAATCGCATGCCAAACATACGAAGATTGCTGCTCAAGTTGTTCAGAAGACTCTGCATTTTGTCAGCATCCTCCCCTGACAGGACTATGTCATCTGCATATTCGAAGTCCATAAGACTATTCCCTGGTAACAAGTCGATTCCTAAGTCGTTGAGTTCAGTTAAGGATACTTCCATTAGCATATCTATGATGAAGTTAAACAGGAATGGGGAAAGTGGACATCCTTGACGGACACCACTGGTTGTTATCAATTCAGATGACAATCCCCCATAAGCCCTCACACGGCTACGTGAGTTTGAGTAGAGTGCCTTGATTAGTGCAATGTACATTCTTGGCACTCTCTTCACAGTCAAACATTGCCATGGTACCTTTCGATCCGCGGAGTCGAAGGCCACGTTCAAGTCATGAAATATGGCAATTTTTGGACGCCTCAAAGTGTGTCTTTGTTTTAGGATCTGTCGGAGAGTGAAGATATGATCTATGCACCCTCTACATGGCCTAAAGCCTGCTTGATTTTCCCTCGTTTGCTCCTCCCGAGTTCTGCTTAGTCTGTGCATGATTACTGAGGCTAGAATTTTAGAGACTATGTCCATCAGGCTGATGCCCTATGATTATCACATGAGGACTTGTCTCCCTTCTTGAATATTGGTATAATAAGTGACCTACTTCAGTGTGATGGAACCGTCTCTGATTCCCAGACGTCACCTAGTACCTTAGTTAATCTACATACTAAGATGTCACCCCAATATTTACACACCTCCGGAATCATTCCGTCGGGTCCTGTCGCTTTGCCTCGTTTCAAATTACAGATAGCTTTTGTGACCTCACTTACAGACGGCGGACCAGTGTCTATATCTTATTCGGGTGTGTGCTGGATGGCGGGCAGGTTCAGTGTGGCTGTAGGCAAGCTAAATTTTTCCTCACAATGTTCTTTCCTGCGTTCAAGTCGTCTATCCTGAGAGCTAATTGAGGAGATATTTTTCTCAGAAATAGACTCACTTATGATTTGCCTCCTCCCACCCGTTTCCTTGATGAGTATAAAGAATTGCCTAGTGTTGCATATCGCCGATGCTTTTTCCATCTCTTTCGACTTATTCACTCACCAATGTTCAAGGTCCTTGCGGAGACTCACCGTAAGTTTCCTTTTGTGCAGCTTTCGCTCCTCATTGAAATCGGAGCTCGCCGGAATAAGTCTTCTAGCATCTATCAGTTCGGATGAGGCAGTCGAAATCCAATGGTTTATACTAATATCTCATGTTATCACACGGATGATTGAATCGCCTCACCGGATGCAGATTATCGCAGACCATAACACATATGCTTGTACAGCTCCGTTCGCAGTGAACTTCATGTTGAGAATTGCCTCTCAGCTGACTCACTCGCTCAAAGTTCAATATCAAATGAACGATGAGACTGTGAACGGTGTTCACGTCAATTGGAAGCGATTGTTTCAATTTCATCACTAGATGACTTTCATCCATTCGATGCTAGAATTTTGTCACACAGCTTGAATATTCAGATGATCTCGATGCCGAGGAAGCGAAACCGGAGCACATCTACAACGCACAATGCGACCAGACCATGTAACGAATAACTTTCCTCTTCTCTCATTTATGCACGTACATCAACAAGTATGAGTGTGACAGCTGATCACTTCCATCACTATTCTCTGTCGTCAAAACAAAATTGTGTATACGTGTGATTGTTGAGTATGTGGATTGAATTGTTTTGCCACGTCACACTGACCGATATTTGTGACAGTGCAATCATTTGAATTTGAATTGCATTTCCTACGACAATTTTGATCAGCTTATTCTATTTTTAGTATCTCATGTCTGTCTGTCTCTGTCTGGATTCCACATAGATTTTGGCACCGAAGTGCGGCATTTTGACTTGCCACGTTGCAAATAGCACAAAAACGTAAACAAGTAAATGAGTGTAGGCAATCAGTAGAGTTTTGATAATTATAAGATTGCAACAGAATGGGTAATGGTAGTAAGGAATATGAAATATTACAGAGACTGAATATATCTGCATAAGCCATTGACAACGATTTTAAGCCATGTCACCTATTGTCTCCAGCCATAGATTCTTAGAGTCCCGAGGGTCACAACCCGGAAGTCTGCATCTCCCTACCTGACTCAGTTTAACTGTCAAGGATTTCATGGATTGATGCCATGTTTTTGTTTGGCCGCCACTAACTCTTTTCCAACCTGCACCTGTATCAGCTAGTAATGGCCGTCGGGCGAGACGATGGTTAGGCATGCGCAGGAAATCTTTATCACAGCTGTCATGAGAATAACAAATCTTTTATGACTGTTCACCCACACGCACATACACACAAACCATTAATACTGCATTTACACACATATTTTAACAAACGTAGAGTAATTTTGAAAGTCTGAGGTCAAATTTTGATCACATTTCATATAAAAAATTCTTTGTTTTGTTTAATATTCCTATTGATAGCTGTTTCTTAATTCACATGACACGACAAACAATTTAAAATAAGGGATGAACTTTTATATATAAACATACTATTCTATTTATTTATTATACAAATTGATGCCTGTTGCATGACTCATGACTGGAAAAAATTTAAAAACAAGAGTTGTTCCTCTTATGTATAAACCTCTGTTATGTTAATTCGATTGATTTCCCTCGAGAAGTTCTGACCAGATTGCCGAACGAAACGTTGGAATTGATCATTTCAATCTCGCTGAGATTTTACAAATATAATTTTATAAATGTCTACTTCTCACTGAGTGCTCAATTATTTTACAACTATCCGGTCAAAACTTGATCACAGTTCATATGAATTAATTCTTTCACAGTTGATAAAATACATCTCGATTTTGATGAATGCGTCTGTTCATCCCTGATTCGTCTGACCATCAGACTTCGAAAAGGCTACTCGAAGTATTCCCCGTAATGCCCTACGAGTTCCGGTTATCACATCCTCATCAGTCTCAAATGCCTGCATTCGGAAGTATGCTGCCTAGCCGAATGAGTGGAGAAAGTAACCACTTTCAAATATATCCCGCTGATAGTGATAGGTGCTTTTGTTATCGTTAGTGAATTGATTATCTTCCTCACCTCTGTCTTCTTTGTTATGACATATAGTCCTGTATACTCTGACAGCTACTTTTCACAGCTTGTTGGTTCTCACCTATGGATACTCGAGATTGCCTGAGGTGAAGCATAAAGTATCCGTCTCGAAATCCAGATCTACCAGGCTATTTTTATTGTTGTAGTTATCAGTATCTTCACGCTCTCTTCACCCTCTGCATCAGCATAATCCAATCCATCAAAATTAGGATATCATCGTTGATAGTTGGCAGGTAGTCTTGTCTTACTACTGTCTTCATTTCAAAGACAAGCTTCGCCCATTTATCCATTGTGCATCCAACGACGCGTGGCGTTTTCAGATAGATGCT